AGATGATTGGTCGAGATTTACGTCGCGCGGGTTTAACCAGGCGAGAAGAGAATTTATATTTGACGAACGAGTGAAACGTTCTTTCGATTTTGATATTCCCCCACTCCCCCTCTCCCCTTTTTTTCGATCTTTTACTTTTTCTGTCAAATTACAAAATTATCACGACTGTCGATGATTTTCGTTCGATGTTCTTACGTACTAGAGACAATAGATCTGTTGCTTTCTCGATATGTAAGACGATTGATTATGTTATTTTAGATCGATTCACTCTTGCAAAGAGGGAAAGCCTCGTGCCTGGCTGCTCGCGAGACGCAAATTGTTCATGCACTCTCTTTAATAATTAAATCATGCACCGATTCAATCGATATCATCACCCGTAATCGTATTTTCGTGCGTCGCACGGATACACGTGGCGCATTTGTGTGTATGTGAGACGTGTGTATCTAAACGAAGTATATATATATATATATTTTTTTTTTTTTAACGTTTAATTATATATATATATATATATATATATGTAATTAAACGTTAAAAAAGAACCTACAAAAAATGAGCAAAAAAAAGAAAAACCAAATCGAACAAAATACTGAAACAAAATAATTCGATATATATATATATATATATATGTATATGTATATATATATATATGTGTGTGTGTGTGTGTGTATGTATATATATATGGGAATTATAAAATGTATAAAGAGAAAAAGAGAAAGAAAAAAAAAGAAGAGAAATTAAAGCGCGCTGAGCGTACGCCACCTTCGATGCCTCATTGACCTCATCTAATGCTTTTTTATCTGTACATTTACAATTTGTGTACCAATGAGGAACGTTGTTTAATCATGTTGTTGATGTTATTGTTAAAGAATGAGATTCAATATTGTACATAACTATATATTCATTATAATTGATGATATAAATAATTATATACATAAAAGTAAGCCTCTGGTATTTCTTTACGTCCATCGTGCAACGAGATGTTACGAGTATTCTGAGTTCTCGTGTTGCTTTGTTTAATATTCAATCAAATGCTTTGTCACGACAGGTGCACGATAATCACAGGGTGAACGAAGTGAAATTTGGTAACAGCATGTTTTATTCGGTGTGGATATATCTTTATTCACAGTAATTATCTTTACTAATAATAGTAATTACAAACTGATGTTGGATTTCTTCCTCAAACACGTTAGTTTTCGTCTGACAATTCGATCATCGACGTGATCAGTGCTGAATCATTTTCAAGAATTACGCGATCACCATGTTCAAACCTATCGGTCTATCTAACAAACGAACTAGTTTTCTCTTCTTCATTAGTCGTTTAATAAAATAGAATAAATACAACTAGATCTAATCTTTCTTCGTCCAATTTTGTTCTTCTATCGTTGCTCGTATTAATTTACTACAAGTAAAGTAAATTAAGTGAATTGTATCAACTAAAATCAAGTAAGTAAAGCTTCCGGAGCGATAGAATATCTCGTATCGACGAAATTTCCCCTCCAACAGTGAATTGCATCTATTGATTAGTACACCTGTTGTCAATTTGCTAATGGACCAAGCGATTCTCTATTAGATTAGTGCCAACTCTAGAGAGTGAGGTTCAGGTGAACCACACCATGTGACCGTGCCTAGTTCACTATACAAATGAGTCGCGTGAAATCGGTTGATATTACCAATTCTTCAGAGCTATCCCCCTCGCTATGCTCGCCGCTTACTTTCCAAGTTAGCGACAAAAAGTGTTGGTGCGTGTTGTGTCTCTGATGCCTACGATGAAATGCTCTAATATCCGGTATTCCGTATCGATTCGATCCGATCTGGCCTGGCTTCTTTAACCAGCCACGTGATCGTATAACTCTAGCAACGCGTCCATCATTCTTTCTTTGTAACGCGGCACGTCCTCCACTTGCTTGCAGATCAACGGCGTTCTGTCCACGTACAAAATGTTCTCCAAAAGTTCCGGCTCGTCATAGAAGTATTTGCTGGCGGCTCCAGGCTCCAGCAACATGATCGGTATGTTCAAGACACCGTGAGTGATGCACATGATCCGCAGGTCCTCGATCGACGCGGAGAAGTCGCTCCAAGGGAACACGGTGGTAATGTCCAGGCCAGCTTCCTCCAGAGCTCTCGTCATCGAGTCGTGGTAGATTTTGAACAGCTCGTCGCCGTGTTTCTCGCGTAATTCGCGCGTCGTTGTGAACTGCAGGAAACACAGGGTGTCGTGAGCCGGTGGATTGTATCTGCAACAACAATTTCATTAATTTAATTTAATAATCGTTGACTGAAAATGATTTCATAATTTTCCTTCTTTCGTTAGCTGTTACAACGTGCCGGATGTAAAGTGAAGTTGAAAGCATTATATATAATTTGTATCTGTTAAGTCCTCAGTATAGAATTAGATTAATTAGATTTAGAATTAAAATTGATAATTCGTATTTTTTTTCGTTTTTTCCCTCCGAATCGAAACCGTAAATTCCTACCATTAAGTTACCATTATCGAGATTATAGCTCAAAGGTTAATAATAATTTAATAATTTTGTAGCATCAAATTTAATTCAATTTAATTTAATTAAGAGGGGGAAGCTAGGAACAGAAAATATAGAGCAGATTACAAGGATTATTTTGGGAAATTCATTTTGGAATTTGCAATCCTCTTAGTAGATCCCTGCAAATATTCTTCATCATTTGTTTCTTGAATTCTGCAGAGGATCTCATAAAAGATATTATTGTAATCTGTGTATGAGAAACTTACATATGAAAACTACAATATATGTTATATATGTTATATGTATCAAAAATGAAATCTATTTAATTTAATTGTAGTATCTAATACTAAAAGAGGGAAGATGGAAACAGAAAATATAGAGCAGATTACAAGCATTATTTTGGGAAATTCATCTTGGTACTTGCAATCCTCTTAGTCATAGTTACATCAGCGATATGAGAGAATCATATATGAAAACTATAATTATATTATATATATTAGAAATGAAATTTATTTTGTAACTTATTATTATTAATATTTTGCACAATATATGAAATATATCATAATAAATATAATATAATTATTAGAACAATTTACTTTTGTTTGAATTAATCATTAGTCAGAATTTCTTTACCTGGCAAGTTGAAAGTCGATGAGACAGCACTCCACAGGTTTCTCATCGATGCCATATTTGAACAAGATGTTGTTCGCCCAGAGGTCGCCGTGGCACAGCACGTTCTTGTGTTTCATCGATGGTAGCAATTTGTTCGCGTGATCGACGCACAGTTCGGTGACCTTCGCGCTGAACGCTTTCTTTTGTCCCTCGTTCAAGCTCGGCATCAGGTCTATCAACGAGACTATACCTTTCACAGCCGCGTCGAGCATCGCCTTCGCCCGGTCACCCTTCAACGGCCAAAGCGTTTCCTGCATGCAGTGAGAGAACTCGTCGTGCAAGCTCTTCTGGTACAACTCCTCGAAGATCAAAGATTTCGCGTGGAATCTGGCCAACGTCTTCATCAGGATCTTGCAGTGTTCGAAGTCGAACGGCTTGAACTTGTCGGCCATCTCGTAGCCGCTGTGGGCCATGTCCTCCAGGACGATCACGTCGTCCTCCAGACCGAGGAAGCATTCTGGCACGTATCTTTTGTCCAGGCCATCGACCAACACCTCTGGGAAAACGGTCGTGTAGAGCGCGACTTCCTTTTTGAACGTGCCGTACTGTTGAATGAAATCGTACTGAGGGCTGGACATCGGCGGCGGTACCTTCGTGAAGAAGTTAATATTCTTCGTCTCGAGCGGCGACCGGGGTGAGGCCACGGTGGCTTTCAGAGTGAAGTACTGGCCCATGAAACCGTTCACCTCGTCTATAGGGATCACCTCGTACGTTATCAACGAGAAATCCTCCATCGAGTCTTTCGTAAGCTTCTTGCGTATTATCTCGAAACATTCCTCGTCCTTGAGTATCTGCTCCGTGCTTGCGTTCCGCATTTTGATCGTGTTGTACGTCTATTTACTTTGTCCTCGTGTTCAAATCCCCCGATACGTTCAAATTTCTCTGAAGATATTCCTCCGATAGTTTCGAACAGCTTTCACATTTATTCGAGCTTTCTCGATATTCTCAGATCGAGTGGATCTTTGGTCACTCGATCTTGATATTCTCAACTCTTTAAATACACCTTCGATACTCGGATACTTACCAATCTTCTCGAATACAGTTCCCGACGACGCTGGAGTTTCCTTGTTCCCGCTTTTATATACTCGAGAGAGCTCGTACGCGCTCGTGCTACAGCTCGGTTTTACAGCTTCTCGCGATAAACGTACCCGCGAGGATAATTAACGTCAAATATCAGATACGACGGAGATGTATGAACGAAGTATAAAAACGATAGTATACCTTTTTCTTTCTACGAGAAAACGTAAAATCGTTTTTTTTCGAGCGCGACTCGGTCGGCCGGCGCTCTGGAGGATATAATCCCGTTCAAGATCAAGATACCTTTATATATTGGCGAGGAATCGCGTCACGTGTACGTTACGTACGATAAATAATAGCGCGTACTCGTGTCGCGCTATTTTCTCCTTGATTGGCTCTGATTGAGGCTAATATTAGACACCTTACAACAAGACATGTTCTGCATAAACGCGTGTAAATGGATCTGATGGATCTCCTTATTGACACTATTCGCGTGGATCGATATACGGGACGGCGAATGATACGAGCAGGGAGGAGGGCGGCCATGTTTGATAATGTTGTAACCACGAGACACTGCACTCGGTTTTCGTTTCGTGTTTATTAAATAGATATGTATGTAGTCACGTGTTCCGACAACGTCAGCAGACAGTCACGTTCCGCACGTGATGAGCGTCTAACCAAGCTACCTTTCTCTGTCTCTGATCTTCTCTGAATTACTCCCGCTTCCATTGGCCACGGAACCCGGAGATTTCCTTTCAGACGGCCGACGAATTTCTTGACGCGGAAGAAAACTCATTCTAGGTACGATTAATCTTAATTCGTGTATCCCTATTTTTTTCCTTTTATTTCTTGCTACGAAAAGAGTCGTTCACTTAAGTATAGAAGATCGTTGTACTTCCTTTTAGAGAAATGTTGCTAATTTTCGAGAAGAATAGAACAGTGATTTTTATTTATTTATTTATCTGTTTAAATGTCCTCTGGTGTGTAGAACACACAAACAACTGTGATTCAATTCACACGATGCAATTATCAAATATTATTCTCTATGTTTTCGGTTTTCATAAGGGTATTCCACAGTAGAACATGTCTGTCCATAACTGGCAATTCTACTTCAGTCCCTCTTTAGTATTTTTATGTGTTTAAAGAAAGCATATGTAATTCTTTTCATCAGAATTTTTATATACATATGTTAATCTGAAATTCAATGAAATTTATATGTTCATTATACAATGCATACATACATAGTATAATGCATGTGTTATTTAATGAGACGAATGGCATTGAAATTTATCTTAAAATTCTCTATGAACTTTATGGTTTTGCGAACACGTGGACTTTACGAGGATGCAGCTGTGACATATAGGACACTTTATGAAACGTTCACTCTTTAACTACATTCAAGTGCTATGTCGTCACTTTCGGTCACCATTATGCTGAAAATAGTAAGCGTTTGATACGACGAGAATTGTGACTAGTGATGAGGGGCAATCTTGTTAAATATATTCAATATATAGTGAACGTATGATCAAACATATAATAAAAATAATGATCATATTATATAATGAATATTGATATTATGTATAATATAATGTAATAAAGATGTTAATTATATATATAAAGTTATATCAAATATATAATAATTGCTGATCGTAAAATGTACTTTCAAATTTAACAAAATATTAAATTAAATTAAATTGCAATCGATTGAAAATGATCGACCGTAGAAAAAAAAAAGTCAAACACGTCGCGTTTTCATTTCTGGAGTATTCTGGAATTGCTTAACTCGCAATTAATCCGGGAAACCAAACACGAATGGGCCGTGTATGAAAGAACAATGCCATGCTTTGAATATTTCGAATTCAAGGTCAACGAGCGATAAGCCAAAGTTTTCATAATCATTATTCTTTCCAGATAAAAAAAAAAAAAAAAAAAAAAAAAAA